CAGGTCTTGTTATGTGTTCCAGACAGGCCTTAAACTTACTATGTGGCCTACACTGGCCTCAAACTAGAAGCAGTCCTCCTGCCTTAGGGTGTACTACCAAGCCCAGCTCAGATTTGAGAAAATGAGACTTTAAAATTTGATAAATTTATTATTTGAAATGCCTGTTAGATTTCTTTATGGATCTTTAAAAAAACAGTGGGCTGCCTTATTATATTACACCAGAATATTCTATTTAGAATCAATCACTGTGTCATGGTTTTGAGAGTTATATATACAGTACAGACTTACTACCTGATAAGAAGCAAAAAAGAATGGAGACATACCTATGGAAAAATCTCCAGGGAGACAGATGAATACTAAATAGCTATTTACAGCTTTCCAAACATTCATTAGGTGGTCAGACATTCACAAAAGTGGGCTTGAAGCGTTTGCGGCCCTCACACTTTCAGTCTTTACACTATCAAAATACCACAAAACTGAAACAAAAATATATTGAGAAAAGAAAAAGATACATTTTGCACATACTTTTCATGAATCTTCAAGACCCGGTGAACTATAGGAATCTCTCTTCCTTCTATCCTAAAAACAACAATTTCCCCCACTCGTATGGGATCTTCAACTCGATTTGTTAGAAAGAGAAGATCTCCTCTGTGAAACGCAGGCTCCATGCTGCCGCTGGGGGAAGAAAATGGAACAGCAAGAAAAAAGCAGATTATAAATTCATGTCTAAAAGTTGACATCTGAAGTACCACCTTTATAGAACAGCAGATGCTTTAACAACCCCATCACCATAAATTGGTGTTATTCTCAAAATACAGGCTCCTGAGACTCACAATTTTCTTTTTTAGATATTAGCCTTTGCTAAACTAGTTCCATGCCAAGCATTACTATTCAAAGGAGCTTAAATCTTGAAAAGGGCAGTGTTAGAAATTCCTTAACCTTTGAAAATTTCAAATGACAAACAATACAAGAGAATGAACTTTAAGAACACTGCCCTTATTCTCACTTCATCTGAAAACACTAAACATATTCAAATATTCAAATGAGAACTGGATCGGCTTCTTTTGCCATTTCTAGAGATACAGACCGAGATGACCTTATGGTTTCAAACCATTACAGAGGAAAACAGCTCATCAACAGTCAGTACAAGATAACACCAACCTATCAATTTATTTTTAAAAAAGAAAGAAGAACAAAATGACTAGAGCAGAGATTTTTGCCCAAGAATTTCAGAAACCAGGGAAGGATTCAATTTTATACTAAAATGTGAGACAGACAGAGCATCTTACCTCTCACCAGTGTTACCCCACACCCAATTCTAAAAAGATCTAATATCTGCATTAATATGAACCTTTTTATTGTATGAAAACAAAGCCCATCGGTATATTTGCAGGAACTCGGGCCCCAGTTTTCAAGCTTAACAGCTTTACTGCAAGAAAACAGGCAGGAAATAAAAAGAGGATAATGTCAAGGTACAAACGTTTTCGTTTGAGGACTGTCATCCTTCTATATAAGGAGTAACAGTAGACGGTGGTTTCTGAACTGCCAAACATGGGAACAACCCGGGAAAGTTAAAATTTCTGTGCTGAATTGTTTCTCTGGTGTGAGAAACCGAAAGTGTAAATAAGGACCAAAATATATATTAGGTATTACAAAATAGGAAAGGCTGGGGATATAGCTCAGCAGCACAAGCACCTGCCTGGCAAGTACAAGGTCCTGAGTTCAATTCCTGGTACCCCCCCTCAAAAGATGTAAAACTGGAAAAAGATGTTTAAATGGGAAGGGGAACTAAGGAGGGGGAGGATAGCCAGGAGTGGTGGTGCACACCTATAACCCCAGCACTCAGGAGGCTGAGGCAGGAGGATCTTTGTAAGTTCGGGACCAGCCTGGGCTACAAAATGAGCTCAAGGCCAGCCTGAACTGCATAGTGAGATCCTGTCTCAAAAAGACAAAAACATTTTAAAAAATTTTTAAAAAGGGAGGGGGAGGAAAGAAGTCAAAGTTTAAAAAAAGTGAGAAAAGAAGAAAAAAATGCAAACAAAGCTTTTGTAAATGAGGAAGGGAGGAGAGGTTGAAGGGGAGGGAAATGGGGAAAAAAAGAATCAAGTTATATCACGTACAGGAACAAATTCTCTACGATGAATGTGGTCATATATATAATGTATGTGTATATATATAATTTACCAATAAAATCTGATTGGAAAAAAGAATCCCTGTGCCCAGGGTATATGCCAAACCATTTACTTTAGAACATCTGAAAAGGGGAGGAAGGCTTTTTTATTTTTTGAGGCAGGCAGTACAGGCTGGCTTTGAAATCATGAAGATCCTCCTGCCTCAGCCTCCAGAGTGCTGGGATTACAGGTGTGCACCACCACACTGGGCTGGAAGGCTTTTTTTTTTTCCTCTGGTACCGGGAACAGAACTCACGACCTTGCGCTTGCCAGGCAGGCGCTTTGCCGCTGAGCTAAATCCCCAGCCCCCTGGAAGGCATTTTTTAAAGACATCCTACCCCCATAGTGTCACCTGCCTGTAACTGTAGCTACTTGGGGGACTGAGGAGGGAGGATGACTGGAGCCCAGGAATCTGAGACCAATCTGGGCAACAAAGTATGATATTCTCAAAATAAAAAATAAAAAACCGAACAGTATATGCCTATAATCCCAGCACTATGGGATTACAGAGGGTGAGGCAGGAGACTGCAGGCTGAAGTCCAGCCTGGACAGCTTAGTGACTTAGTAAGACCCTGTCTCAAAGAAGAGAAAAGGTTGGGGATGTAACTCAGTGCGAAGGCCCTCGATTCCACTCCCAGTACTAGGGGAAAAAAAAAAAATCCCTGATGATTCTACTAAATAGCAAAATTTAGAAACCACTAAGACTATAGATTTATCATAATTTTTATGCTTAAAGCTTTTGTTAGCTTCTCACAGGGCAGCAAGCTCTCTTTTTCAGAAAGTACTCGGTTTGAAGATGGACCATGTATTAGGTGGACATACTATAGAAGATTATTTTAAACATTAACTTTTCAAGTTTTTACTTTGATTAATTTTTTAATGCAGCAATACTTTTTCTTCAAATCCAGTAAAACCACATTTGAAAATGCATACAAAAACAGGTAAGGCTGGACGTGGTGGCACACACCTGTAATTCCAGCACTTGGGAGGCTGAGGCAGGAGGATTGTTGCCAGTTCGAGGCCAGCCTGGGCTACAAATGTGTTCAAGACCAGCCTGAACTGCATAGTGAGACCCTGTCTCAAAAAGACAAAAACGAAACAAAACAAAAACAAAAACAAAAACAAAAAAACTCCCAAAAACAGGTAAATTGGATGTGATGATGCACACCTGTAATCTCCTGCACTTGAAAGGCTGAAGCAGGAGGATCGTAGAGAGTTCAAGGCTAGCCTGCACTAAAGAGTAAGACCCTGTTTCAAAAGAACCACCCAAAGCTGAGTTGATTTAATCATTCAGCTTTACCAAGCATTTACTGTATGCAAAGTGCTATTTTTAAGTTTTTTCTTCATTTCTTGGCAGTAATGAGCATTGAACCCAGAGGTGCTCTACCACTAGGCTACATTCCTGGCCTCTTATTTTGAGACAGGGTCTGAGTTGCCCAGACTGGCCTCAAACTTGGGTTCCTCCTGCCTCGCCTCTTGCATGTTTCTTGCATGTAGCTGAGATTACTCCTCTTGTGCTAATAATCTTCAAACCAACTTTATGCTGCAGACAGTACTATTATTGCAGTTTATGGACAAGGGGACTGAGCCTGAGAAAGGCCTAAAATTACACATACATAAATGATACAAGTGAGATTTGAGCCAAGGGATCAAGCAGACTCTAGTATCACTGTGCTAAGCCACCTCTGAGCCACTGCAGACTTTCAGGCAAGGAAAACCATAATTGTATATGCACTGAACAGAGATCACTTTGAAAGCTATAAAGTATACAGAAGATACTCAAATTATTATTATTATTATTTTTTTTTTCTTTTTGAGACAAGGTCTCCCTCTGCAGTTCAGGCTGACCTTAAGCTCACTTTTTAGCCCAGGCTGGCCTCGAACTTGCAACAATCCTCCTGCCTCAGCCTCCCGAGTGCTGGGATTATAGGCGTGCACCACCATGCCTGGCTCTTTCAAATTATTATTTTTTTTTGTTAAATTAATGAGCACAAGCTGGGAGTGGTGATGCATACCTGTAATCCCAGCACTCAGGAGGCTGAGGCAGAAGGAACGTTGCAAGTTCAAGACTAGCCTGGGATACAAAGTGAGCTCAGGGCCAGCCTGAACTGCAGAGCAAGACCCTATCTCAAAAAGACAAAACAAATAAATAAATAAAATTAATTAGTTAATTAATGAGCAAACTGGCAAAGACGAGGAGGTAGATTGGGAGACCAGCTGTTCAGGTTATTATAAATAATAGAATACTTGTTTATCATAACTGAATACTTCTTAGCCATTAAAAATGTTATGTAAAACTCTTTGTAAACATGGATATATACAAATGGTACGAAAAACAGGATGCACATACATAATTACCTCAAATATGTAAAAACATACATGAAAAGGAGACTACAATGTTAACAGTGAGTATATCTCAGAATTATGGGCAACAGTACCTAGACTTGTGTTTTCTACATTTCCTATAATGAAAATATATTAACATTTTCTGATTATAAAAGCATTTCTTTAAAGAGTCACCACAAAGGCACAGGCAGGAAATGATGACGGCCTAAAACAGAACAGCAGAGGGAACAACTCTAATGTGCTAGAATAGAGAGACAGAAAATGACAAAGTTGGCCAAATAGGTGGAGGAAGAATCAAGAACACCTTCCTGGTTTTTAACATTGGCAATGAAGCAGCTTGTAGTGACAGAAAATACAAGAGAAAGATTTTGAGAAGAAATGAGCTCCATTTTTACTACTATAACGTGGGGTGCTAGGAGTGTTGCTTAGTGGTAGAGTGCCTGCCTAGCATGCTCAAGGCCCTGGGTCTGGGCTTAGTCTCCGGCACCACACCTCCAAAACAATGTCTACAGTGCAACAGCATTCTTAACCTTCGTGTTTGTCTTTCTGTGCCCCTCATTTCTTTTTGGTGGTAGTACTGGGGACTGAACCCAGGGCCTTCATCTCAAGTGACATCCCCAGACCTTTTATGCTTTTAATTTTGAGACAGGATCTTGCCAAGTTACTAAGTTACCCAGGCAGGGCTCTAACTTGCAGTCCTCCTGCCTCAGCCTCCTGAAGTACTGGGATTACCACAGTGTATACCACCACGCTGTGGTAGACTTATTTCACGTAACAGTGACCACCCAGTTCCATCTCACTGCTTCAAGTGATAGGATTTAATCCTTTTGGGGGCTGAATAGCACTCCACAGTTTATAGGTATACCACATGTTTTTTATCCATTGGTCATTTGATGGATATTTAGGTTGTTTCCATTTCCTGGCTATTGTGAATAGTGGTGCAATAAACATGGGAATGCTAGTATCTCTTCAACATACTAATTTCATTTCCTTTGGCTGTATACCCAGTAGTGGGTTTGCAGGATCATGTGATAGTGCTATTCTTAATTTTTTGAGGAAGAAAATTCTAAAACATATCAAATATAGACATATTTTTAGTGAACTTCAGCACCATGAAGGGACAGTTTTAAAAGTTAACTGAAATTTAAGTTAATAAAA